TAAACCTGAAGTTTCAGTTTAGAGCAGATGTCCTTCCACTTTTCCAATAGACCCATGGTCAGACTCCAAACAGGCCTTCCTTGCTGGACTTCCATTGAAGTCCTCAGCTGTTTTTCAGTCACCTCCTTCTGTTATGGGAAGATTCCTTGGGCAGGTTGAAGGGCTAATGCTGCACATGCCCTGAACTGCACAGTCTAAGCAGTGAGGTCCTGTCCTCTCCATGGTTGGATGCTGAAATGTGGTATGAGTAACTCGCTGTGTGAGCCACCTCAAACTCTCACACACCCCAGAGGGCAAGATCCATTTTAAAATGGAGCTGGTTGAGTTTGAAATTGAAACTGAAGAAGGATGTGAGCATGCCTATTTTATAGAAAAATGGCAAGAGCACTTGCCCAAGAACTGGGAGACCTCCATACCCAGGGGTGTTTCAAACACACATCTCCTGCCTCTCCAAAGAATATCCTAATGTCTAGATTGGATTCTCAAGCTCTGTTCTCCCTCCTCTCTAGCCTTGAAGGGCTAGTCTATTGACAAAAGCAGCATGGAATGCTGGGTCTAGAGGGTTTCTTGGCTATAGCCCTTGAGCATAAATCTGGGTCCTTGGGCTGGGGTTCTCACCAGGCAGTACAGATGTGTTGAATAGAGAGCTGAATACCCCAGCAGGTTCTGAACCAGCTATGGGCTTCAGGCCTGACTCTGCTGCAGCTATCCAGCTGATGTGTGTGCTTTCTGCCAAGCTCCTGTCATGAGTTTACTCAGTTTTTTAGAACTCCCCAGATGGACTTGGAGTTTGATATTGGGAGCTGTAGAACACAGTAAGGAGAAAAAATACAACTACTTAGGTAATATAGAAGGAAAAGGGCATGTGTTCTAGCTCGCTGCAGATACCAGGTTGTGTTCTGAAACATCTCTTTTCCTTCAGTTTAGCTTACTGTCTTGATGATTAGTCACTGACTGTGTTGGAAAGTAGGAGATTTCCTTACCTCTACCTCAGTTTTCTAGACAGAAAGTCTTACTGCTCTAACCAGCACAGTAAATGGCTTAAGTTCTTGTATAACTTACGTTTGTTTTACAATTGTCTTCCCATCAGCAATACGTTTCGGACGAATGCCAAGGTCTGAGAAGGCCAAGCTGAAAGCAGAAATTCTAACAGGTGAAAATTATGTAGAAGATTCAGAAATGGCAGATCTGAAATCACTTGCCAAAAGAATTCATGATGCTTACCTGAAAAACTTCAACATGAACAAGGTTAAAGCCAGAATCATCCTTGCAGGGAAAACCAATAACAATCCAGTAAGTCCTTTTTCTGTTACTTTAAAGTGAAGCTGGCAAGAACATAAGGTGATTATACAGACATAATATAGGGGGAACGGTTCAAAATTAATTTCCTATTATGACAATCAAAAAAAAGTTGGTTTTCTGTCATGACTGCCAGGATAAATACTATAATCCTGTAGGCTCTACAGGAGCTTTGCATTACTTTTATTTTAATCAGGACAATATTAATAGCAGGAGGGGAAAGAAAACTTGAGTTTGTAATTTTTTGTTTGCAGTTCTGGCCATTTGCTCACCACTCAGCCTTCCTGGTCTTTACTGTTATGTGAAAGGCAGAATCAAGTGAGGTTGTGGTGACACCTATGCTGCAGGAGTTATTTTTCTTTCAGGAGAACTTAGCCAGGGTCTACCTAACATTCTCAACTGCATTTTGTTTTGTGGCACGTGTATAATCCTTGTAAGGACTAACTTGTTTCACTTTCTGAGTATTTTTAAAGTTCTGTTGTGATTTCTGTTATTTATGCGTAGAAGATAAGGATCTTATTCTGCAACAACTTTAGCTTCAGTAGAAAATTGCAAAGAAGAAGTTTTACATATGCCATAATGAAAACCATGGAAGTGTGGGGATGAGTGTTAGAACAATTGGAAGCGAGCTGTCTTCTACATTATGGAATTTGACATATGATAGTCTAGTCTAACCAAGCCTACAGCTTTCTGTATTAAAAGAGAGGCATGTGAATTATCCCAGTCTTTTCTATTGGGTTAAAGAGATGTGTAGAATTAAGCACAAGTTAAACATTTTAGGGGACACAAGCTGACATGAGCCTACAGTGAACGCCACTTTTAGCACCTCACCAAGTGGGTTTCTGCAGAAAGTCCTTTTCCTGCTTGTTACCACCTGCCAGAACCATAAGCCACAACATATGTGGCACATCACAGAATCACAGTGGATTCAGAGCTGGAAGGGACCCATGAGGATCATCAGGTCCAGCTCCTGGCCCTGCATGGGACATCCCCAAGAATCACACCATGTGTCTGAGAGCATTGTCCAGGCATTTCTTGAACTCTGTCAGGCTTGGTGCTGTGACCACTGCCCTGGGGAGCTGTCCCAGTGCCCAAACACCCTCTGAGTGAAGAACCTTATGCACAGGGAAGAACATGCAAGGATGGATCCTATGGCACTGCATCCTAATTCTTGTGTGTGTGGTCACAGCCAGTAGTGGCTCACGCCTGTCCTGGTGAATTTACATGTGAAAATTAAGGAGAAATCAACCCTAGTATGCTACAAACAGGCTGCTTCCTAATTTTTCAATGCACAGGGGAGAGGAGAGGTTTTTTAAGCTATTTCATTATCTCTTGAGAAAACAAATATTTTCATTTTCTTTTGATTTTTTTAGCAGAAAAGCAAATTTAAAAAGGAGGAGTTTGTTGCTTGTACTTAGCAACCTCCCTGTTTGGGAAGTGAGCATTGACAGCTGATGTCAGTGAATCCTGATTTTTGGCACTGCTGCAATTAATTTCGGAATGATCAAGCATTTTTCCTGGTGACAAGATGTCATTTTTTAATTTAGCTCCTAAGTCCTTGGCCATACCGATCTTCTGCATAGCAAAATGATGATAAATTCCAGAAGAATGTAAGAGACAATGCACATCTTATAAAGGGTTTAGAAATGCAGTGGGTTTCTTGCTTTGCTGCTTTCCACTCATATCCACCTTCCTGTAAGAAGTTCTGTTCTGTGGAACTCTGCACCGGAATGAGATGAGTGTATTTGCCATAAGCTTTTAAAAATTGGGCAACTGTAGGAAGCTCACGTGTTTTGACTTATTTCTGAGTGAAATAAGTGAATGCTGTGAGTTTCTAACAGAACACCAAATGTTCCTCGTGGCATTTAATCTAAGATGAGCAGAGCAGCACAGGGAAGGTGCTCGGCCTGTATGGGAGTAGATTTCTCTTCCAGAGCTGCTGTGGCTTTGCTAGGCTGCAAAGCATTGGGGTTGGTTATTTTTCTTTAGTGGATCATCCTTTGTTTTGATTATTGCTCTGGAGATATGTTTCAAAATATTTTTGAGTTCTGATTGTTCTTAAGAAAGTCTGACTGCTGTTATTGATAGGCTGTTTAAGAGAGTAGCTCCTCGGGTTGTAATGCACACACCTCTTTAAACAAAGGGGGGTATGGAAAAGACCAAATATTGTGTTACCTGACATTCCAGTGGGATTCTGTGTTTAGAGATGACTCAGCACTAAGTGCAGCTGGAAAGTTGGGAGTGCTGGGACACAGTCTGTGGAAATCTGATAATAAAACACAAGAGTAGTGCAGGGTTCACATTCTTGTGCAAATATGCTGTCCTTTATTGAAATGACTGTCTGTATTCCCCCCAGGACACTTCAAGGAAGCATCACGATGTGCATCAAGTGTAGTTAGTGTAGGAATCAATAGGTGTGTAGGCAGAATAACCTGGACTTCTGGAGAAGGTAATACAAGCCTTTTGTGAACCTCCCAGGACCTGCTCTGAGGTGGATGTATGCATTCTGAGCACAGGACTGCTGGAGCTTCACTGAAACAGAAAAAAATAACTTGAAGATGTGTCATACATCTCTAGGTGTGACTGTTTGAATTGTTGTTTGCAGAGCAGACTTGTTAGACATTGCAGGTTGTAGCTCTGTCACACAGAGGCAGAAATATGAAGGAATTCACCATTTAGTGATTATTGAAGACTGATTAGCATAGAAGTTAAAATTCATCAAAATTCCTGTCCTTTAGGAGACCAGTGGTTAATAACCATTATCTTATAACTGAATCTGTGGGTTTTTTCCCTGTAGCCATTTGTTATACATGATATGGATACCTTGTGTATGGCAGAGAAGACCCTGGTGGCAAAATTGGTAGCCAATGGGATTCAGAACAAGGAAGCAGAAGTTCGAATCTTCCACTGCTGCCAGTGTACATCTGTGGAGACTGTCACAGAACTCACTGAGTTTGCTAAATCCATCCCTGGCTTCTCCAACCTTGACTTGAACGATCAGGTGACGCTACTAAAATACGGAGTTTATGAAGCCATATTTGCCATGTTAGCATCTGTGATGAACAAGGACGGGATGCTGGTCGCCTATGGGAACGGCTTTATAACCCGGGAGTTCCTCAAAAGCCTGAGGAAGCCTTTCTGTGATATAATGGAGCCCAAATTTGATTTCGCCATGAAATTCAACGCACTGGATCTGGATGATAGCGATATATCCCTTTTCGTTGCTGCCATCATTTGCTGTGGAGGTAAGCATTGCTCGTTTGTTCTCTGAGGTAGTAAATTTAAAAATTTCCCTCATGTGAATGAATAATTTGAATGGAAATGCTTCTATCCTGCTCATAGATTGAGTTCCACCACTAACAATGTCACAGATGCTCTGTTGAGGCACTTCCTGTGTTTGGATTTTAATGTCACAGGCAGAGTTAAAAAAACAGCTTGCTTAGCTAATTTAAAAAAAAATCTGATGGTATTTTTAGCAGTGATGTCCCAGTACTAAAGAATATTGGGGTTGGGGTTGTTTGGTTTGGGGGTTTTGTTTAGGTCTTTGCGAGTAAAAGAACACAAATGTAAGAAAGTAAGGATGTTGATACTTAAGGTTCAGTTCAAAACTATGCATCAGCATTTTAATAAATGGAAGTGAAAATCAAGAAGGTTCCAGCACTCTCCATGCTGCATTTTTTGTGTTGTGCTGAACTCTGCAGATGTGTCAGTGCCCTGCTGTGCCCACAGCAATTATGAGAAAGGAGAGACCATCTGTAGACTTTCAAAAGCTTCATGGGCTGGTTTAGACAGCAAGTTCCTACCAAATTCTGAATTCCTTTTGTAAAATATGTTGGTATTTTGTTGTTTTCAAAAGTCAGGAGAGTTCTGTGCAGGCAAAATGTTTTGGTTTGACTGGTTTTTTTCTTCCCTTTATCGTTTTCCTTGAAACTAGCTTAAGATTTCAAGAAACATATGTAGTCTGTTGTCCTGGACTCCTCTAAGAATTTTGCTCTGGAGAGCAAGAGAGTTACAGCACTGATAGTCACTGAAAATGAGATCTTATGTGAGAAACAGTGAAACATTCCCCACAAGTGCTTCTCTACGTCCTGTCAGTAACTTATTCTGTGGCAATGTACCATGGGAACCAAGAGTGAAAGCCTGTTCTCATGTCTTGCTGTATTGCTACCACACTCTCTAGAGATAGCCCCATGCATTTTTTTCCATGCTTACTGTTTGAATTCCCTTACCAGGACATGCAGAACACAGCAGTAGATTCCTGGGCTGGTACCTCTGTGGGTTTTGGGGGTGACAGGTGCCGTGGGATTTTTTCTTTTGTGTCATGGGTTGTGTTTGGTAGGAGGAAATCTCTCCTCAGATAAGTGTGGACATTGAGTAAACTCTGGCCAAAGGGACAAAGAAGACTACTATTTAATTTTTTTACTTTTTTTTAAGGATTCTTTACAAGCCTCACTGCCCTCAGTGGATAATGTCAGCATACACTGTAGCCTGTGGCATAGAATCTGTACTTCCATTATGACGAGTATTTTTTTGCTTGTTTTGAGAACAGATCGTCCTGGTCTTGTGAATGTAGGACACATTGAAAAAATGCAGGAGAGCATTGTGCATGTACTGAAACTTCACTTGCAAACCAACCATCCTGATGACATCTTCCTCTTCCCAAAACTTCTCCAGAAGATGGCTGACCTCCGACAGCTTGTCACAGAGCATGCTCAGCTGGTTCAGATAATTAAGAAGACTGAATCTGATGCACATTTACACCCTTTACTACAGGAAATCTACAGGGATATGTATTAAGGACTTCTAGTATTTTTTTCCACAATATTTAAAGACAGAGCAATACAGATGGGAGCAAAACTACTCGCACAGTTATGTGCTGTTCACTCAGCCCAGAGCAGAAAAGATCTAAAACTGGGGAACTGGAGTGTTGCACTTCTTTTGGTTTGGGAGCTTTTGTCTTCTTTTTAAAAGAGTTCTGCAAGAAAATACTGATCAGAGTGCTCATGAAGTGTTTTACAATGGTTCTTTTATTTGGAAAGTTGAAGATTGGTAAGGAATACGTATTTGTATAATAAATCAGAATGTTAAGTAACAGAAATGAACAAAATTGTATTTCCTCTTGGCTTAGTTGTTTTAGACTTAATGTAACAAATTCAGCAACTCCCCTCCGGGTATATGCACAATCAGAAAGATGATGCACTTTTGCCTAATGGTAATTACTGAAAACCAACTAATACTTTCTCTTACAGCACTCGGTCTAGGTGTAGCAAGTGGCTGGATATTACTGTCCATAGTCTTCTTTAGAAGTGGAAAGACCTTTGATTTACTGCTGCTTTAGTTCCATGAAATGATGTACAGCTTCACGTAGTGTTACATTGGCATATTTTAGGATTAGCATGTTCAAAAGATGGTTCTTTATGAAATGAAACAAAATCCAAAGAGTTATCTGAAGTACAGCAGAGATGATCCTACAGGTGTTTCTTGAACAGTAAATGTGTCAAAGTGATGGAATCCCTTTTTTCAAAAGTGTTTTAAGGAAATGTGAAAATATCCCTGAGGAAAAATATATCATACACCCTGTGTATTTTGGAGAACTTGTAATAGGTCAAGAAGCAGTTTTGGCTTGGAAATACCTTTTTGAATTAGCTAGAGTTTTGGAGAGACAGAAATATTTGATCCTGGCCCAGGAAAAGCAAAGAACTTTGACTCCACAGCATTCTGCTGCAGTGATAGCTGACTCCAAAGGAATGATTGGATAGGAAAGGCACCTTCTTCCCTGACAAGGGTCTTGGCAGTAGAGTTGTTTGGACCTGTTTACCTTTCTGATGGATATGCTGCTTCATTTTTTCCACTTATCCATTTGGCTATATTTCTTTCTATTTCTCCTTAGGCCTTGTTGAGAGAAGTAATCTCTAGATTATTTCACCAAATTTTGTCCTTGTGGATAAGGTGACAATTTTACCAAGAACAGTATTTGTAGGTGTTGGACTGTGTAATAGTATGAAAGACAGCACAGTTGGGAGTAGGTTTATCAAGTTCCTAAGAGCAAACTGATTTTTACAATAGTACTAGCTCTACTCCTGATGCAAAATAAGCTATAATGAAATGGCCTGACTTTGCTGCTTTAGGGGCTCCTTTCTCAGAGTGCAGCTGCACACAAGGCACTTTGCTACTTCTGTGCCTTTTTGGTTCTTTGGTAATTTTCAATGATTGTTTCCCGGTTTTACTTCCTGTTTCATAAGACCAAGGCATCAGGAGTCAGTCTGAGCATTTCCACTACAGTTAAGCTTTCAGTGGCACAGGAGGACACTTTATACTTGTTTTATTGTGGCACATTTGAAGACAGGAGACTCTTAGCAAGACACCTTTGACACTTAGCAAGACACCAGAATTAAGCAAGACTGGTGAAGTGAGACCATCACACTGTGATTCCTGTTTCAGTGGCAATGCTTTTTTCTGTCCAGGCCCATGGGCACAGCTGGAAATTGGATAACTTACAGGTTTAAAGGCAAGTTGGGTTTATCCAGGTGATGGTCATGAGCAGAGGTTTTAGTGACAGATATATTTAAGTGTAAAATATTGAAGCATAGGCTTCAAATTTACCATCTAGGGCAGGGTAGAAGCAGTAAATGCATGTGCAGAGTTTCCTCCCCTTGCCTGTTGCCTGCTGGCAGCAGGAGAACAGGAGAACACTTCCATCAGAGAGGAGTGTTGGTCTTGCCAGGAACCCACAGACTCTTTTGTGTCTCAGAGCAGCAGGCAGTGTGTCCTCAGAAACACAGAGAGCATTTCAGCAACGCTGCAGCTTCATCCTCCCAGTCAGTCCTGTTTCACTCAGGAGCTGTGGGGTTAGACCTACAACATCCAGCGTGGAAATCACTGATAGGCAACACTGCTAATGCAAAAAAATCAAATACCAGCCATTCTGGGACAGCATAATGAAGCTCTAGCAGCCAACTGTTAGTTTGTTGTCTCAAAAATAATGAGAACTTGAAATTTTTCCTCCCCCCCCAAAGCTCAGATTTTTGCAAAGGGCAAATTTCAAAGTTGTGTTCTATAGTCTGAGTGTACAAAAGGTTCTCAGGGAAATCAGACACAGTCAGTGTGGGCAAAACCTATTTTACCTGCTCTTGTTTTGAGAAGTGGCTAAAACACTTTAGTGAAGCACATAAAGAACATGGAAAATTTAATAATAAATACTTAAATTCTGAAAAAAAAAACCTATCAAGAATTGAAAACAGCTTAATATTCAGCTATCTGAGCAGCTGCTTGTAACAAGGTCCTATTATCAGCATTAGAAAAGTGCATAATTTGCCTTTTTTCCTGTTCCAGATCCCCTTTTTTATGCTATTTGAAAAGCAGTAATTTTTGGCTAGTTCCTTGGACACTAAAGTTTGATTTCTGTTTTAAATTAAATTGCAGACCTTTAATGAGGAAAAAAAAACCTAGAAAAAAATGCATCTCTTGAGTTGCAGAAGTATGAACAAGATGTTAACACAGCCCAAAATTCCAGATGGATTCCACTGCCCACACTGCTGCCCTGTGCACATTCCCACAGTCACTTCAGGGAGTGACACAGGGCAGACAATTCCCAAGTATTAATGAGCAAAAGAAGTTCTTAATTTCCACATTATTCTACATATTAGCTTTTAAGGAATTGCATGTGCTCCTTCCAGAGGTGGAAGCTTTGGCCAAGCAGATTTTAAAATGACTCAATTTGTATCCATTTTTTTGAAGTTTGGAATCTGAACATAGTCTGAGATCTATTAATGATCTATTATTTCAGCATCTGCCCCTTGTACAGATCATCTAATATTTTGAAATACCCCTTCTGTGGAGGGAAATAAAGTGATCAGATTTTAGGATTAAAAATGTATTAGTTTTATTGGCTTGTTAGCACAGTTTGGATCTGATTCTTATCGACAGAATTTGTTTGACTGTCATTAGCACTGAAGAAAGACCTCTGGTTAGCAGCCAGGTACCACAAACAGCTTAGGACAAGAGACAGCAGATAGATAGAGAAATATCCTGGGAAACAATGGTATGACTTAAATTTTCAGCAAACCTACAGCTTCCTCATTTTTGAGGGTTGTTCGGGGGTTATTTATTTATTTATTTATTGGGATGCCCTAGGTACTTAGGCAAAGGGGAAGGGCAAAAAAAAAAAGGAAGGTTTTGTGTCAAGTGTTAGGGAAATCTGACATTCATTCTTCTCTCAAATATTTTCTTTAAAGGTGCCATTTAAAAAAAGAATCAGTTGCTTTGTACCTTTCTAGATTTCAGAATCCCACTGTTGTTCGAACCACAAACTGACACGGGATAGGGAAGTTTCCAGTTACAGAAATTGCATCTTTCGTCGCACTTAAAGTAACCATATCTTGTACTTAACTTGCCATTTCCATGTGCCTTCTTGCTTTGGCTCTAGCAGCTGCTGCAGGGCTGAAGTGTAGCCAGAGAGCAGTTTTGCCTGGTTTTGGGAGCACTGGTGGTTGCACTAATCCCCTTCTCGTGAGAGACCTGGCACAAGGCTGCAGATCAAAGAGCTTAGAATAAGCATCTAAACATTTGTTTGTTTATTCAACCAGCTGAAACTTGGGGAGATTTATTCATCACAAGAGCTGAGTCGCATGTGATCGAATTTGAATCTCCTCATTTCTGATGGAAAGGCTGGACAAACATAGGCACTGTCTCAGGCAGAGCACGTGGGGCAGGTCCCACTGTGTCTGCAGAGGGACCATTTCAGCTCTGTCTCTCCTGAAAAGCTCCTTGTGACTTGCTTGACATTCTGCAACTGCATTTAACCAATGCCTTTGCAGCTGTTGTGATAGTGCTTAGGCTTAAGCTCTTACAAATAATGGTCCTCCCCAGAAACCCCTTGTCTTCAGGAGATTTTGGCCTGGAAGGTGGAGTGTGGTATCTGGTGCTTGCTCACATCTCAAGTGCTGTCCTGATAATCAGATGCACATAACTTTTGTATCTAGGTTTAATCAGCTTTATTATCCTTCTTTTACTGAAGACTTAAATTATATGTGGGTTTGACCTACGATTATTGATGTTGTTATGTGTTGTGGGATTTCTTTAATTTAATGTAATGCCATTTCTTCATGTTTCGATTTGTAAAATGCAAGAATATCATTGCAAGGTACAAACTTTCACTAAATTAATTACAGAGGTGCTTAAAGAAAAACATGTAAATTATTTAATTTAAATGTTTGTTACATCCTTTATCCTGAGAACCCTTTTGTACAGTGAGGAAATACTTACTTTTATGTGCTAAGGATGAAGGGGCTGAGGTCAAAGAAAAGTTGCTGTTTATTCCTGTCTGGTCTTTCTTGCTGTATCATTTGTGAAGAACTATCACAAATTCTGCAAGTTATTAGTGTTTGGTGTTGATAATTGTCACAAAAATTGAAAATATATTTTCACATGGAACACAGACTTCCTTTTATTTAATGCTAATAAAAGTAAGTCTAGGTAAGGCAGAGCTGTAATCCCAAAACGAGCTCAGATTTTTAACATTTCAACTTGAGCTGACCAATATGAAGGTTTGTTTGTAGAACTGAGCTCACTGTTGCTTTGCAGCATGGTAACTCCTTTTCCTTAGGAGTCAGAGCTGAAAGAAGCTGCTGGTGTTTTGTGAGGAACTGACTCATGGCTCGCTGGGAATAACAACGTGTACTCAGGATTATGCCCTGCACCTGCCCTGAGGGTGAGCTGCAGCTTTTATAGATGTATTTTCAGACATGTGACTTGGCAGCACAAAACGAAATGTTGTGATTTGGCAGCACAAAACCAAATGTTGAAATGCCATTATCGGCTTTTCTATAGGAGTGTTCCTTTAGGATGTGAACTGGAGATGAATTCAGAGCCTGCTCATAGGGATTCTGGCTTGTGATGCAGGTGTGATGAGCATCCTGCTAAGGGATCCTGATATAGGGACAGAGGAACCTTTCAGAGGTTTTTACTTGGCTGTAGTCCAAACACAGCAGCTAGCACAAGCACAACCTGTTACAGATGTTCTAGCAATGTTTGTACTTATTGCTTTCGGTTGGTAATAGGTTAAGTTTTATTTCCCCAAATTGCTGCAACTTGCTGTTTTCCC